ATATATATATATATATATATATATATATATATATACATATATATATATATAATACGAATAATTTATTTTATTTTGTTATAATTAAATATGTATTTCTAATATCATCATATCATTAATAATTTTATTTATATAATATATATTATATCAATAATATTATTTATATTATTACAATTTATTCAGACGAGTCGAAAAGAAAAAATATTTGATCCATTTTCGGGTGAGTGCGTATTATTATTATTATTATTATTATTATTATTAACGTTTAGTGACTGACTATAATACCCTGAAAATTAGAGAGAAGAGGAACCCTAAGGGAGATCGACCGGAGCGTTGCTCGCCTCTCTTTCTTCTTGCTTTCGGCCACGATCGCCTCAATTGCTACCGCACGATGGTTTACATCGCGTCCTGGGACGAGTTCGCGGAGAGATCGGTGCAGCTATTCCGCGCGGATCCCCATTCGGTGAGCTCCTCCCGACCCTGACCCCGACCGCTGCGATCCCTACTCCTAACAATCCATCTATTCTTTTGGACTGATTCGTGTGGGGTTTCTTGTTATGACGATGTCGATTGGGAAGTCGCGGTATGTGATGAAGTACAGGCACTGCGATGGAAAGCTGGTCCTCAAGGTCACCGACAATCGAGAGGTATGCTTCGAATTATCGTCTACTTTAGATGCCAATAAAAGCCTGTGAATTGCTTTTCTGCTTGTTTTGCAACATCTCTTCTTTCTTGAAGCGCATTAATGCGTGTTATTTTGCCCGTAAATATAAATACCCGTGTTTCGCTTGGAGATGCCTCTTGGATTGTATGCTTAGATTTCACAGTCAAGGAGTTGATGGTTTGGAACTTCAATTTTCCAAGGATGAAGATAACAATTTCAAAACACATATTTTAATCTTAATTGTTGAGCATGGTTATCAATCCAGATTATGGTCAAGAGAAAACTTGGCATAAGGTTTCAGCATTTGACTTCATTAGAGAGTTGTGTGTGCTTCAAGTTGTAATTAAGCACTATAACATAATCAATCTTGTAGATCAATAAACTACGCAGCTGAAATAAATATAGGGGAATTTTGATTGGTTTTCTTTTGTGTTAGCTTAATTCTGTATATTTTCTTTTGGGATGTCTATGATCATTTCTTTGGTGCTGTGTCAAGTCTATAATGAGTTCAACAACTATTAATTGTTCCTGACTATGACTACACATGCCCCATTTGCATATAGGACCAGAAATGTAGATCAATCTTAATCGGTACCATGCTATTTTAAGTTTCTAATGTTATTTCAAGAACTTTAGGATTGTAATGCAAAAATTGTTACTCAGATAGAAAATTGAAATTTTCAAGGCCAACTGATCATTCAATCCAATAGATCCATGATGAAACTGTATTTAGAATGACACTCAACTGCTAATTGTCATTCTTGTACTGAAGTTTAAACAGGAAAACGAGAATGATAGATGTGCTTGTTATGCTATGTTGGGTTTCGAAGTTCTGTAGCACTACTTCTATCCCAAGGAAAAAAATTCTCTAAATTGTGATTGGTCTATTTTTACTGAGTCATTCGGTGGATTAAAGAGATGTCTTAAAATCATTTTGTGAAATGTATGCTACTTGCATGTTTGCCTAAAATCTCATCAAAATTTCATGATATAAAGGCGCAAAGTTTATGTCTGTTATTCCTGTCTTCATCTCTATCAAATACAATCCTCCACATCGCAATTTTTTGATGCTATTAACCAATATACTAGCCCGGTGATCTTGGGTGGTTTTAGTTCATGAACGAAGGGCAGTGTTTTCATGAAAAAAAAAAAATCAAGAACTACATTAGAAATCTTAAAAATGGCAATCTTTGCATCATTATCACTTTTTTTTCTTTCTTGGTAGTTTGTTATGTCAAGAATGATACTTCACAAATATGAACTTGTTGCAAGAGAAACAAATATATGAGTGAGTTTGCATCATTTAGGGACTGAAAAGCAATTAAGATGGCACCTAATTAATTCAAAGTACCAAATACCACCAAGACTGCCTTTAGCTTAAGAATCAAGCAATGGGAAGGCCCTCATAACTCATAGATCACTCGAACAATTTAGCCCAAAATCTATGTCAGCCTTTTCTAAATGGAGCTGATTAATGTAGATTCAGGTATAATTAAATTGATACAGGGTTCAAATACATCTGGGTGTGTAGGATATGGAGATCTTCCCTTGCACTGTAAACCAAAGAAATATGACTTCCTGCATTAGAACTGTCCTTTGCAATGCCAATAACCAAAATAGAGAGAGGCCTTTGGACTCTGAAAGTCTTCTCAAGGCTAGAATTCCAAAATGGACAAGCTGCTTACCTGTTTATGGTTTAGAATTGGTCCCATTTAGGGTGATAAAGTCCTCTCATATCATTTAAGTTCTTTGACCTTATTTGACCTTTTTTTGTAAATGGATTAGGTCTAAGCCATGGTATAATTAATATCAATTGGGATAATCATTAAATATATAAAGAAACATGGAATTGGTTCCAATTTGAAGTCTCTCATAGCCTCCTCTTTTTATAAACTCATAGGATCCAACCAAATAGATGGTTCTCTATCTGGTTAGGCCAAGGTGTTACCAGATGAGTTTGTTCTGAAACTTGTTTCAAATTAAACGTAGTAATTACTCACTTAACTCCAATTGAAACTAATTAGACCTATGAAAGAGGTAGACTGAATCTAAGGGCTATATGAGCTAATCAAACCTGTGTGAGAAAAAAAAATCTAGTCTTGGAGGAGATTGTCTCCCTGCAACCTAAGGTGTTTGTCATGTTCCATCAATCTAGTAACAGTTATTATATTGCTATTATTTCATGTCCATGAAGCACACAAGAATACAAGAATGTTCTCTTTTTTTTGGTTCCTTTTCAATAGTTTTAAATTACGTTGCAACATCAGATTATTATGAAGTCCAATTAAGATGATATTAGCTCATCTTTCAGCCTTTTTTGAATAAGTGAGAAAAAGAAGAGGGTTATGGTTCTGTCCAAGGATCTTTATCCAAACCTAGACATTAACAGAACATTTCTCTGATGAAGGTTGAACGTGGGTATTATCTCTGACCTTTTGAACATATAAATTGAAGAAAGCTCATGTTTGAATATGATAATTGAGCCTAATGGAAAAGTCAAAATTAGTTCCGACATCTATGAGAAACGTGAAGACTCATAATTTTAGATGTCTAATGAATAATGACATTACTAGGATCTCTTCATGATGAGCTCAAATGCAACTCTGTCTACATATTGTTGGTTAACCCTGCATGCTTTTGTTCTATGACAAACCTGAGTATTTCAGAGGAAAAATATTTTGTGTATCCTTGTGGAGCATTGTCTATATGGGGACTCTTTATCAAATTCTGATATTCTGAGTTGTAGTTACATTGGCACACCACTCATTAACATGAATGATGATGTTTTACAGTGCCTAAAGTTCAAGACAGACCAGGCTCAGGATGCGAAAAAAATGGAGAAACTCACCAACATCTTTTTCACACTGATGGTTCGTGGCCCTGATGGTATTGTGCCTCGATCACTTTTCTAGTAAACATGGAATCAATTTTTCCCACTACCTTATCCTTTTTTTTTTTCTCTAAATCCCGTTGACTTCTGATGTTCATAACTTGGTTTTTTCTCTTTATTTACAGCTGACATATCAGAAGCATCAGGCAAGGAACAGGTCGAGCAGGTTGCATCCAAGAAAGGAAGAGGAAGGAGGCAGTAAATCTTTGATCAGCAGTTTGTTCCTTGCCACTGCCATGTAGTTTTCGGCAAAGAAGTTCTGGATAACATATCCTAGCATCAGATCTGGATGGGGACTTAAATTTAAGTTGAACCATAGACGATTTTTCACATATTCAACATTGCATTGTTTTAGTGGCAAATATTTCTAGTTAAGATGGATCAGTTCAACTGTGATGTGTCCTTTCTTCTTCTTATTCTTGTTCTTCCAAAGCTGTGTGTTGTGTTCTTGGAGTCTTGGCTGTGATCCCTACAGAAATTGTCCAAGTTTGATTTGATTTTGGTCAATTTCTTTTTGCCTTGTAGTTAGAAATCAGTCAGAATGTCCTGAATCAATTGAACTCTGTAAATTCAACTATTTTGACAAATTTTATCCAGTTTTACGACATTAGAAGAGTGGAAAAAGAAGAATATATATACTGCCACCGTTCATTTGTATCGTTATTCTAATATCTGAGAGTAGTTCTTAACCTTTTAAGAAAATAGAAATGTTTATTATTGGAGTTATATAAAATATGTAAAACAAAAATTACAATCATCATTTGAAGAATGCATGACAAAGTCGTAACTCTACAAATGTGTACAAACCAAGGTTAAGTATATCCATGTCGTGAGCTTCCCCTTACACACATTAGGTGTACAGGCTGAGGCACGGATCTTGAAGAGCTAATCAGATCTCGACACGCATCTCGAAGCACGATGGCCTACGTCTCTTCGTTTCGGCCCACCCTATCGGGCGGGGACACGACGACTCTTGAAGCGTCAATCAGATCTCAACACGCATCTCGATGCATACTATATATATATACACATATATAGAGAAGATCGTAGTAGTACAACCATATTTCGCTTATAGAAACATGAGTTGTCATCCATGATCAGGAAGATTGACGGAGCCACAATGGAATCTTCACAAAAAATGTGACAGAAGAACTGAACAAAGCCCGTATCATATTTTTATGCCACCAAACTCATGTCTTGTGATTGTTCCTACAGTTCTCATGACTCATCATGCTCCTCCTTTGTGAGACAACACCCCTCCATATCCACTAAGGTTGATACCCTACTGGAATCTCTTGGGGAGCTCATGGTTGCCAAAATCTACAGCAAATGATCACCATCAAGAAAATTTATGACAATCTCAACATGTCTTGAACCAAAACAAAGATCACCAAGCGCATCTGGTGTAGTGGTATCATAGTACCCTCCCACGGTACTGACCGGGGTTCGATTCCCCGGATGCGCACAGATGAATTTTGTTTTTGAGAGCTGGATCTTCTTCCTCATCTCTCCGCTTTCATGTTCTTCAGCAGATTCAGCGCAACTAGTTCATTACAGATTTGAATGAGGTAAGACCCTTTGCTCGTTCTTGTCAGTGATCAGCATAATGAGTTCCAAGGAAAGAGAAGGTGAACTTTCCTCTAGTCTTTGCCGGTTCCTGCTCTATCAGCACAATGAGTTCCTTTCATCTGAGGTCGGTTCAAACCTGAAGGAAAAAGACGCATTGGTTCCCCTCCCTTTTCAGAGAGATCTGCACGCACTGAATTCCATGCCATTTGTTGCATGCTTTCTCCTCCATGAATGATGTCCCTGCTTCTGCCTTTGTGTTTGTATCCGAGGCTGAGGCTGTGTACTTGATTGAGGTTCGTGTTTGCTTTCCCTTCACACCAGCGCAGACGCATTCATCATCCCTCGCGTTCCGTTCTTTTTGTGCACTGTAGCCCGACATGCTCTCTACTGTTCATCCTAAGCAGCTGCAGCTTCCAGGCATCCCACTAAAACCAGACTAAGCAGGTGCACTTTCGAGTCAGATGGAGATCACAAAAAGACACGAGAAAAGGCTGCAGACAAGTCTTCCATCAACTATTTAGTCTGATGCTTGGAACATAGAGAAAACATCATAACAGATACATCATTATGCAGCTAGAAATGGACAAGCACACTTGCGTGGAGCATTCCGGCTCTTGACGTGCACATTGAACACCGAATGTAATTGCATTCATCGTTCGATGTTAGATAATGGAGGGAATTGAAGCTATAATTTCGGGATCTTGTGTTGATGGTTGTGTTCGTCGTTCTCCTCGTCGCCCTCGGTCACCGCCGACGACATGTAGCTGATGGCGAAAGAGTTCGCCTCGGAGGCCATTGCGGGCTTTGCCTGCTGGAACTGCTGCTTGCAGGCATGACAAGTGATTTGCAGCATCGCGGAGTTGATCTGCTTCACGGCGTGCTCCCTGATGGCGTGAGCTCGGTTCAGCTCCAGCTGCGCTTGCTGCCTGATCCGTTTAGCTCTCTCGATCTCGTGCTCGGCTAGTTCGAGCTGTCGCCGAGCCTGCTGCCTTGACTCGTCGGCAAGTGCCTTCTCGGCCATGGCGAGCTTTAGATGTTCCATCGCCTCGTCTTTGAGCCGTGCGGTAGACGCCTGTGCGTCCTTGGCCGGCGCATGGTCGTCGGCGGGACCGAGCGAGAGCTGCAATTTGGCGACTTCGGCCTCCTCGGATGCAGGAGAAGATAACGCAGAGGAAGGGCGGGTCGTATGCTGGTTGTTGGATGTAGGTAGGAGCTGGAGCTCAATGTTCTCAGTGCAGCGTCGAACGGGCTGCGACGATGGAGGATGACCCAGCCGGGCGAGGAAGACGGCGGCCGCGGGACTCGGCATTCCCAGGCCGGACCAGCTCGATGGGGTCGTGTTCGAAGCCATCCTAGACACGCATGCCGGCGCCTGGTTCATCTGGAGCTCCGCCCTAGCTTGGCCGGCCGTGCATGTGTCTTGATGCTCGATGAAGCTCTCCACCCTGTGGTGATCACAGTAGAGAACACAATATAAATGCTACTGCTAAGATCGATCGAGCTGTGCGCTGCAACAAACGAAGCATGTAGTACAAATGTCTAGATTTGGGTTCATGCAAACTAAATGCAATTAATGGCACCGAAACCAGAGACGAGGAGGTAAGGAGTAGAACCCTAATCAAGAAGACAAGTACTGCATGAACACGAAGAGTACTGTGGGCACCTGGAGAAGACACGGCCGCAGTCGCAGGAGTGGCCGCGGGTGCCGCATGTCTTGAGGTGGGCCTTGTAGTCGGACTGTACCGCGTAGGCCTTGGAGCACTTGGCGCACGCCCACTGTCGGTGGCTGCTGTGCTTGCGCCGGAAGTGCTTCTTGATCCCGACCAGGTCGCCCAGGGCGTGGCGCGGGTCGTGGTGCAGACACGTCATCTCCGGGCACACGAACACCCGCTTCCGCACCTCCGACGCCGCCGCGTCCCGCTTCAGCAGTTTCCACGGCACCTTGTGCCGCCGCCGGTGCATCTGCAGGTTCTGGTCCCGCTGGAACCCCTGCTGGCAGATCTCGCACACGTACCGGTCCGACTCCAGCAGCGTCCTCGGCGACAACGCCACCACCTCCGCGTCCGGATCTAACAATGGCCACCACCGGAATCAGGAATCATCCCCGAACAAAGGTATAGATACCATGTGCAAACAAAGCATGATAAAGATGACTTCAAGATGTAACCTGGAGTGCCCGCCGGCCTTCGCTTCTTCTTGCTGCTACTTCCATTGCTGCCACCGGGAGGTGGTGGAGCTGGTGGTGGTGGAGAGCTTAACATTGTACCGTATGTGGTTATCCTTGACTGAGATAACACCGACATAGATTGTTAGAAATGGAGAGAATGCAGCTCGAGGCAGACGAAGGTTTCTCTCTCAGGATTCTACGTTGTGCAGTGTGCTACACACTCAAAGAAATGACATAGAAAGGTCGGAGTTGGACTCGTAATGGTGAGAGGATTCTGCTAATGCTGCTATAAATAAAGCTGCTTCAGCGAGAGAGAGAGAGAGAGAGATGAGTTGAGCCGCCCACCACAAAGAGGCGATCGGGACAAAGAAGAAGACATCCCCACAAAGAAACAAAAGGGCTCATAATTCCATCATGACGTCCATTGGTCCAAGTTTGCATGCATCAATGCAGGCCAGTCTCCAAATACACGTGAGACCTGTGTTTCTCTCTCTAATAATACCTGCTATTGAGCTTTAGCCTCTGATCAAACTACAATTTGATGGTTTCAACTAGAAATATTAGAAATTAAATTCCAAGTTTAATCTTTCTAACTATGATTATTACTTTTCTTATCAAACAACTGTTTCATTTAATATAAAAATCATTTATGGTATCTGTCAGCCACAATTTAAGATGTTTTTGTAACAATCTGCAGCAGTATTTTATTGCCAATTGTTTAGCATGTGTAGTAAGATTTTGTTCTTTGGATGAAATTCCATTTGATTAAAACAAAATAATAATAATAAATTCCATTTGATATTTTAAAGATTTTACTAGAATGATTTCATCTGCATTTACTGTGTTACAAATGATTTTATGGCCTCAAGTCTTCCATATGTTGCTGATGATGACATGGGATTCATACTACTGGGTGAGAGAAAGAAGAAGGGTGAGGACCCACAGGAGACCATGGCATCATTCTTCCACTTCATGCCATTCTCCACTGCTGGATTAGACTAAGCTCAGAGTAGGCAGCTTTTCATTTTCTCTCTCTCTCTCTCTTGCAATTAAACATGCCATGCTTTTGCACATAATGATAGTTTTGCACCACCTGTTGTACCTGTTCATGGGAAGCTCATTGGAGGAGGTTGGCGGTGTACTTGATGAACTCCAAGCTTTACAACTCATATGTAAGTCTAATTAAAATGACACACTGGCCTTTACAAGTTCTTGCCTCAACAAATTGATCGACTCATATGCCTCTGCTGCAAACCAATGTTTAAGATAATGATAAGAATGGCATCATATGCAACACAAGCAACTGTTTAAGGCCTTGACGAACTATGTGCTTTTCAAGCTGATGGCAGCTTCACAGATACATAAATCGATATGTTATCACTGTATATTTATAGCAATTAAAAGTCTTGGCATCATGCTAACCCTGTAACAAAAGGAACCTTTGTCTTCTTTAACAAAAGAATGTTGGGATCAGCTCACTTCCATTTGGGAACCCATCGAAAGTGAGTCTTTCTGCGTGCAGGTATCATATCCTTCATGGCTTTTCTGTTAGCTGAAGGAATGAGAGATGATGGAGGAGGATCTCAACACATGCATCTGTCCTTTGGCAATCATCAATCCCAAGCATTGGTGATCCTGAACCTAATCATCTCTGCTTGAGCTAAGCATGTTCCAGGATCTCTCTTTTCTTGCCCTCCCATGGCATCCTCATCTTTTTCCTTCACCTCTTCTTCCTTTTGTCTTTGCTTTCCCTCTTCTTTGACTCGGCCATGGTTAAAGCTTCATCTATTCTACTGCACATCATGATGTTTTCAGTCTTGTGTGGAAGGAGAAAAGCTGCGTGTGAGAGAGTGAGAGAGAGAGAAGCATGATTTCTGTTTGTGTAATCCAAGGGGTGTAAAACCCTCATCCGGATATCTTTGTTTGGGAACGGTGATGATCTACTGTTACTGTGTCAGATTGTGATGTGGATCACCAATTATGAGACAGATGCTTGTCCATTCTGTGGTGGCTTGTTGGATACAGTATATCTACAGGAATATCTTCTTCTTTTTAGGAGTCAAAATGAAGTTAAATATAGGATTGATTGACACTTATAGATCGAGAAGAGAAGTTATATCGGAAAAGAGTGTTCTTGTGTGGTAAAGGTGACGTAATAGAAGGATCTACAGAGGCACAGTGGACTAGTTCGATCATGTCACATCAGTCCACTTCACGACGCAGCAGGGCTGTCGGACACGTGGAGCCCGTTGGACCTTTTCCGAGTGGGCGGCAACAACGGGACCCGCGCTGGGCTCACTCCAACAGGTAAACGAGGTGCAGGCATCCTTCCATACATCGTAGGCATGTCGAGCTAGTGGACTCGGCCTAGGGTTTTAGGGTTAGGGTTCATCTGGACCATGTCCTTGTCTGCTATCTCCAGGCCTTACTGAGCTTGGCCGCATGGCCGTGGCTTCCCTTATTGTCCGTTGCGCCTCTCAGCGCTGTCGGTCGTGCCACCCTCTCCTGTTACCATGCACTCCTCGCTTGATCTGACGCTAGCCATGACACATGCATGCATGCTCGAGGGGGTCGCCATACCGAGCTCGATCCCTTTTGTTCTCGAGATCTCTTAAAGGAATATTGCAGGGAATGATACAGCAGTTACATGACAAACGAAATGCTTCGCTCTTTCAACGACGGCATGATCCTGTTACTATTACCAACATGCACTCCAAGGAATACAAGACAACTTAGGAGGTCATCTTGATGTGATCTTTCTCCTCCTCCTCCTCCTCCTTTATGAAGTCGATCATGATCTATTCCAGTTTAGCAATCTCGATCTTAATTGGCTCACTAAGCCAATACGCGTTGCTGCTTTTGATGAGATCAATTCTTCACTCAAGAGAAGTGCATGCCATAGAAGTCTCCAAGTACAATTTTTCTCCACCTAAAGAAGAAGCAAGCCATTCTACTTTTAGTAGGCACTACATATTTATCTCTAGATATGACTTGTATAGATCAGTATAGTACTGTTTAACCATGTGGACCAATAGTGAAGAGAGAGAGAGAGAGAGAGAGAGAGAGGGGTGTGTGGTTGTGTACAATTGAAGGAGTTGAAGTGACTTAGTAGGGCATTGTCAAGTATTATATTCTTTAGCTGTCTGCTTCCAAGGAGGTCCCAAGCAAGAAGACAATGAGTTCATACTTGAAAGCTGGATATCATATATTTCTGAAAAGTATATGAGAGATTCCAGCACCACATCCCTTCTTGTCCCCATACCCCAGCTTGCATGTCCTCTTGGCCTTGCTCATAGCTTCTTTCTTCTATGATAAGAGTGATGAATGGATAATGCCAACTACTGTACGTAATAGCTGTTTTGTTCCATCATATCACCTTTAGCAACTTTGCCTCTTCCCACCTCATGACAGACACTTGAAGCCTAAGAATTCAAGCATCTCCACAAGCGGCCATTTGGCGAGTCGTATGAATGATTCCAGCCATTGAACATAGTGTGATTGATGTGGAGGATGAAGGTACAGTTCTCATTGAGTAACATTGGCCATTGTGCTAGTAACATAGTTTTTGAGAAGGCAGTATTACCATTCAGGATAAATCAGTGCAGTGCGTCAATCTGTGATGGATAGAATGACCTTATCAGTGATAGATCCACTGCATGTCACAAAAGTAGAGCAAGGCAGCCAATGTGAATGAGTCCAAAGCAACTAATGCTAGTGCATCTAGGATTCTTCTTCCTTGCCTCTACCTTTACTTGCTTCCCATCCCACCTCTCTTCTTTTAGTTGACAAGTCCCTTTTTGGATGAGCCACCAGACCATGTGCTCCCATCACCCTCAGCCATGGTGGTGGATCATTTCACATGAAAGACAAGGAAAATGAGACAAAAAGAGAGTGGGAAGCACACAGAGGAAGAGTGGCAGCATGTCACACTGGAAGAGTTGGACAGCAAGAGCCTCATCACACTGCAAAAAAGTTGTGTGAAGAACAATGACCTATCTCAGACTTTGTAGCAGTAGTTCGCTTGAGATGTGAGAGCTCTCTTTTCAGCAATTCTAAAGCCCAACTCACTCAGGTCCTCTTTCTCGGATGCCTTGTGAGACCACAAAGGAGCACAGGAACAGGCCGCTTTAGGTCTCATCCTGTGTGATGGTAAGATCACAACAATGGAATGTTTAGCATGAGTAATTCCTGTAATCCAACCATGCATGTAACACGCTCAAGTTTAGCCATGGATAAATGATATAGGATATTTTGACGTTAATCATAGCCTATCAGTTGGTCACCATCGAGCACTGACATCAAAGATGAGGGTTAAGTCATGCCCCCACTTGGTAGTGATGTAGGGGCAATAACAATCTATCAGCCCCCATGGACAATAGTCCATGGGAGGCTATTCGGGCCGATCCTGTAAATCTTCATTGATAGTGGTCCTCGGATGGTTGCTCAGGGCTGTTGCCCCTCGGTTGGCCTCCATGAACAATAGCCTACAAGAGGTTGTTCGGGCCTATCGCCCCCATGGACAAAACGCCAAAGGGAGGGTGTTGCAACAATGATAGAATAGATGCAAGCAGTCTTCTGCCAACGCTGTAGGGCTGTAGGGCTGCAACATTTGCTGCCTTTTTTTTTTTAGTTTTCTGTCAACTATTTTGATGACAAACCAATGGCCAATGAAGCTTTTTAACTGCCAGAATAGATGTAGTTTAAATTTGTGATTGGTATCAAATGTAACAATTTTATAAAAAAATTGATTTTACGTGATTCAACATAACATGCAACAACACACGCAGTTTATAACTAATCGTCACACAAACAAGACATTCACATGACGGAAACTTCAGGCAAAATATGCCTAAAGTATGTGAGTCGAGAAATCTGACATGCACCAAAGCAAATTTGCTATAGTGGAGGCTCTGGGCAAGATGTACCTGAGGTATGTGAGTCGAAAAATCTGACCCGCACTAAGGCAGAACCCATCACAATGAAAATGTGAGCCCAATACACCCAAGATACCTGAATTGGGAAAACTCTACCCGTGCAAGAGACCTTGAACACTCATACGTCAAGGGGGCTGAACGATATGCCTTGAACCCTTTTATGAGAGCTCCAAAGCGCGCCCTTTGAGGGAGAAGACAAATAATAAAGGATATTATGGTGCTCGTTAGCTAGCCACTATCGAGGCACTAACGTGGAAGATGAGAACCGAGTCATGTCCCTACGTAGGGACAGTAACGACCTATCGACCCTTGTGGGCAATAGTCCACGGGGGGCCATTCGGGCCGATCCTATTGGCCTTCATAGATAATGGTCCCCAAATGACCGCTCAGGATTGTTACCCCTCGATCGACCTTCTTGAACGATAACCCGTAGGAGGTCATTCGGGTCTATCACCCCTATCTACAAAATGCTAAAAGGAGGGCATTGTAATGGTTACAGATGATCGATGATCTCCTCTGTCACCCGGGTATAAAAGTTGACCCTTGGCACTTGCCTAGAGGCTAGATCTCTATCAAACTCTCCACAGCTATATCACCCTCAGTAATATAAGCTAAATTACTTATATTATCACACCAAATATGTGACAATCCAACATAATGAAATAATTTTATTAAATATAAACATAGATAAGCTTAAATTACTAATATTAATCAATCAGAATTTATAAAATAATCTGAGGAATTACACTATTGTATTCGCGTCCTAGTTTTGGTAGCAAGTAAGACTACTAAAGCCCTACACCATATATCTGAATACATGAATGAACACATTAGGTTTAAGAAATATATGTTCTCTTATTCTCTTCAATTTTGCTAATTTTGAATATTAATTAGAAATTTAGGATCGCAGGAGTCAATCGGTGAAACATAATTATAATATAAAATAAAGCTATAGTTATATTAGTAAAACATTGAATTTCAAAAATAAATTCAAGTTAACCATTATTGATCTTGATTATTATTGAGTGTATACATACATACATACATACATACATACATACATACATACATATATATATACATATATATATACCA